CTTCTTCTTCTTCTTCTTCTTCTTCTTCTTGCCTTTTGTTTGTTCTTCATCTTTGTTTCTTCTTTTTTTCCGTTCCTTGTTCTCTTTTCCGTTTCTTCTTTTTCTTTTTCTTCTTCTTCTTTTTCTTCTTCTTCTTCTTCTTCGTTTCTTCTTCTTCTTCTTCTTCTTCTTCTTCTTCTTCTTCTTCTTCTTCTTCTTGAGTGGCGCTCATTGCCTCCCTTTTTCCTCCGATGGCGGCCATCGCCTCCCTCCTCCTCCCCTCTCCATGACTCCCACCCTCCCTCTTCTGCCGTAGGCCCCCACCACCCCTACGTGAACGACCGCCATAGCCCCCCTCCTCCCTCCTTTCACATAGCGCCCCTCCCTCCTCGCTCTCCATCGCCTTCCTCCACCCCTCTCCATCGCCTCGCTCCTTCCTCTCGCCCTCTGCATCGCCTGCCTCCTCCTTTCCTCTCCATTGCCTCCCTCCTCCGCTTTTCATCACCCTCTGACTCCTTCCTCCGCCATAGGTTCCCTCTCTCCTCCGCCGCCGTAGCCTTCCTCCTCCCTCCTCCCTCCCACCATAGTCCTCCCTCCGCCTGATCACCTCCCTCCCTCGTTGTCCACCATAGTTTCCCTCTTCCCTTCTCCCTTCTCCCTCCTCCCTCCTCTCTTCTCTCTCCTTTGACATGGCACCCTTCCCTCCTTCTCCCTCCCGGTAGAGCAGCACCCTCATCCCTCCCGCCATAGTCCTTCCTTCTCTCTCCCGCCATACTCCTCCCTCCTCCATCCTGCCATAGTCGTCTCTCCTCCTTCCCGCCATGGTTCTTCCTCCTCCCTCCCGCCATAGACCTCCCTTCTCCCTCCCACCAGATTGCCTCCCTCCCTTGTTGTCAAACATAACTTCCCTCCTTCCTTCTCCCTTCTCCCTCCTCCCTCCTCCCTCCTTCGACGTGGCACCCTTCCCTCCTCCTCCCTCCTAGCAGAGCGACCCCCTCATCCCTCCCGCCATAGTCCTCCCTCCTCCCTCCTCCCTCCCGCCATACTCCTCCCTCCTCCATCCCACCATAGTCCTCCCTCCTCCCTCCCACCATAGTCCTCCCTCCTCCCTCTCGCCACAGACCTCCCTTCTCCCTCCCGCCA